AAGGAGCATAAGATCCTCTTCAGTGGAGATGTCGTGTACGATGGATCCATGATCGACTGGCTTCCCTACAGCAAAATAAGTGACTATGTCGCAACCTGCCAGCGTCTCCTAGAGTTGGTGGACAAAGGTCTGGTGGAGAAGGTGCTACCTGGGCATTTTAACACCTTTGGAGCAGAAAGGTTATATCACTTAGCTTCCAATTACATCTCACAAGCTGGAGTTTGCCACAGAGTTTCTACTTGTGCCATGAGATCCATTGCAAGCATAGCACTTCGTGTTACAAATTCTAGAAGCGCCTCTTAGTAATAGTGCTTTTGGTGTGAGGTACTCCCTGATGGAAAAACCAAATGGCTTGTGAAAGCATTGATACGTGCAAAGCAGTATGCATTAGTAAAGAGTTGGCACATTAACCCAGATGAGCTGCAAAAAATTCTCCTTGTTTTTTGCCTGCATTACTCCTATTTTTTTAAAAACATATACATAAGCTTACTTAGCCAAAGCTGCCATTTTCTGTTTTTTTTTTCTAGGCATGTTTGCACACCTATTGTGATTGCCAGTGGACTGCAGTTTGAAATACATTACATTATTTTTGATATGATTCTGTCAAGATACATATGATATGCCAGAATTAAAGGGTTTACATGCCTGAAACTTTTTTGATGTAGCAGTAGGGTGAAGGTTTTATTTGCATTTAAAAGTAATTCTATGTGGCTGGATTATAATGTGGCTGCTAATGCTCTGTGGTGGGGGAGAAGGATGGAGACTGTAATATTTCATTTTCATTACTGCAGATGCTGGATTAAACATCCTGGCTGCTTATTACCCTGCAGTGAACGTAACTTGAACTGTTTACTATTTGCTTATGTTCTGGTACCTGTGTGGTTAAGAAAAAAAAGTGCATTGCATTTGAGTCTGTTCCCCAAAGAAGCTGAGTATGCTGAAGAATGATAAATGACATTGTGACTTTGTTTTTGAGATGGAAGTGTGATATTTAAAAGTAATTGAGATGGTTAAAGGTTGTGTATTTATACTTACAGTTTATATATATAATTTCCGTAAAAGGACACTGTCTGATGTTATTTTTGTATATAAACATACATACTTTCCTAACAAGATTATTTTTTCTCTTAACATTTTCCCAAAACTTAAGTGGAGTTGAATTTTACATGTTTGGCTTTCACCTTATGTGGAAGCGTTTCCTTCCCTCTGATGATACCAAGCAGAAATCAAGCCCAGTTTATGGGCTGTAAGGTATGGAGGGATGTGAAAGTTGGAGGCCTTCTTTACAGTTTAAGTTCTCGTGAGAAAAAAAATATAGCCTACTTTGTATACTATGTGCAAAATAAAAAGCATTTTTGATCATAATTTATGAAAGAGAAGATATTATATAATAGTTTTCTTCTCCTTTTTTAGCCGACTGTCCTCCTGTCTTTCCTATTTGAATATACTCTTCACCAAAAGTGGGACTGATAGATTGTGACACACATAGTTCTTGTTAGCAGTGCCTCATTCCTGTTGCAAGCTAAAGCAAAATTGCAAGCAGATGGACAGATGCAACATTGTGGTACTTGGAAGAAAGGTTATTACTTGAACTGTAGTTCTCCCTTTTGGAGAAATCCTAAGTATTTCACTGTATTGTAAGATGAATGTTTAATTAGTGGATAGACTTGTTACAAATAAAGCTAAGAACTATATTGGTCTCATGTGGCCAGAGGAAAAAATGTAGTTAGGCGGGGAAGGAAGAAGTCATTTAGTGACAAGGCACAGAAAAATTTCACAGTGTGGTTTTTCTTCTCACCTGCTGATTGACGCTGGCTGCTATTTATGTAGCAATCCAGACTAATTCCAGATAGGCAAGGATTCATGGATAGGCAATTGTGCAGTCTATCATTTGTGCTTAGATCTGTGCTCAGTTCCAGCTGTGCTCAATATCAGTCACAAGATGCTTAAATGTTTAGATCACTGGAATAAATGTAAGGTTAAAACATGATTAAGCCTATTAAGTCTACGTAGATAACAGCAATTGTCACTTCTTTTTTTTCCTTGACAAAAATCTATGGAATATGTCCTAAATCAGAAGTGAGCTTAATGTGAACACAGCCTGTAATGGTGTGTTAGTAAAATGCTGCTATAACCTAGTTGAAAATAGTTGTTGTGGGTCTTAAAATTATTTTTGTATTTTAAAAAGTTCATTACTAAGTAAATGACATGTTTTAAATATAACAGGTTCTGAATATTTTTGTTAAGAATTAACAAGTTTTAGTCATAAGCGTTTGACAGTGTCCCTTTAACACTACTTGGATTAAGTATTTAAAATATATATGTTTAAATGTTGCAACATCTTGGACATTTATAACTGTTTATTTTTAAAAACAAAATCAATGTATACTGCTACTCTTTTCAGTAGATTAAAGAATTCATGAATTTTTCATACAATTAACTCTCTATAATCTGTCCAGACTTTATGGATGTTAAATAACAGATGTTAAATAACAGTTCTCACAGAAGAAACATTTTATCATGGATATCATAATAAAAATGTTATAAACTTATACTGTCTAGCTATAATTTCAAAGAATTTTGAAGAAAAAAAATCTTTCATTATAAGTGGAGTGCAAGATTTTTAGAAGTTCCTAGCACTGTTTTGTATTCTTTTGACTAAGAGACTGCATCACAGATTAATCTGCAGGATTTATAAGAGGATTTATATGAGTTGGTACTCATGATTTGGTGCTACTCTAAAAGATATTTTTAAACCTCTAAGGTGGAGAGGTTTTCCAGGAGAGGCTTCCCTTAGCCTCTTCTCGAGAGGTTTCACAGCCAGACAACAGGCCTGATGGAGACAGCCCTGCAATGACCTGTTTGTCAGAAGAGGTTATTGGGCCTCCCCACATGGCCTTGTTCCGTGGTCCTCCATGCTGTCAGGGAGGTGAACATTTAAGTTAGGAGTCACTTCTAATCAAGCCAACAGGCTGTTATCTCTTAGAAGTGCTTTTCAAAGTGCAAAATTTAAATGTTTAAAAATATAAACCATTTTTGATAGCTATTGCATGTGTACAAATGGTCAAAAAATTAAACAGAACACTGACAGCTGTAAGGAAATTCATTCTGTGTGACCATCAGCTAGGCTGAATAGCAGGTGAAGACACAGAGATAGGTGCAGAGATAGGTAACAGCTTGACTACTATTCTTACACCTGCGAAGTAGAAGTGATTACAGGGACCTTCTTAAACTCTTTGGCTTTTTTCCCTACCTGTCAAGCTATAAGAAGGTCAGATGTATATCCTCCACACAGGATATGCATTAAAAGGAGTGTTAAGCATGATGGAAGGCAGGATAAGAATTCAAAATGATTCTGATAAGTTTTGCAAGGTAGCCTGGAATCAGTAATATGGAGCCGAGACATGTTGGAAATGCTGTCTTCCATAAGAAAAAATCAAAATGCAAAAATACAAAATAAGAGGGTAGAAAATACTGTTACGGAAAAGAACATGAAGAATACCAGAAATACAAATTTGATTCAACAATGTGACGTATTAGGAAGAGTGCCAATATGTAAGGCAAGGATGAACATATTCAATTCTGCTTGGAAGTGACGAGACTCCAGTAGACTATTGGGCCTAGTTTTGTGCAGCATACTCTAAGTAAACAGATTGGAATGAAGAAAGCAAAGAAAGAAGAAAGAAAGCGAAGTGTTGATCTTAGCAATCATGATATACAAAAACTTGAGAGATGACTGAGAACAGTTTTCTGTTATGTGAAAAGACAAGTATACTGTATCTTAACTTGTGGTAAAAGGTAACTTGGACTGAATGTAACAAAAAAAACTGCAAGATAGGTTAGCAATAGTTCATATTTTTAATCATTAACCTGGGGCTATATTGAAATAAATCACTGGTTCCATAGTTTTTATTTGCAATAACTATGAATGTGTTGCATTATTTCTATTTGTAGTCCTATCAAACTACATCTTACCTTTCACAATAGAAGTTACATTATTAAGTAGCGCTCTCAAGTGACCAAGGAGCCTTTATATAAAATCTTCCTTTTAATATATATGGAAAAAAAAAAAAACATCAGTCTCAATTTACTTTTACATCACAGAACATCTATTTGTCATCCTCTCACTATGAAAAAAAAATGTTTTGGCTAAATTGAAAAGAATTTGGCAGAAGAAAAAGCATCCTTAATCTTGTACCCTGAAATGTAAAGCACTACCTAAGCAGAACTCAGAGAGTCAGTTCAGTACTGCTAAAGCCTGGTGTAAAACTTTGCTATATATAAAAAATAGAAAGCACACATCTCCAACCACAGGAAATTAAAATCAAGATCTTTTCAGACGGAAAGAGGACAGAAGATAAGGATGAAAAAAGAAGATGGCAAAGGAGAATTTATGAATATTAACTTTTAGCAGCTAGACCTAAAAGTTCAACCAACTCCATTTCACATTATTGTTTATATTGTAATTAATTGCTGCATTACAACTTCAATAATAAGTACCTCTTGTTCTAAACATTTCAGGCAGGTTTCATCCAAAATGCATGCTTCTGCACCACCTTCATGTCCCAGCTGAATGAGGAAGCACACAAACACGCAGAACTGGAAAGTAATCACAAAATACGCAATGGGGTTTATCTAAACTTTAAATAATGCTAAGTTCAAAATACCACATGAAGCTTTGGTTGGTGTGGAACACGTTTTACCCTAAGCTGTGCTTACAGTGCAACCCTGTTGCAGCTGCAGGCTGCTTCAGAAGCCCGCAGAGCTGCACGGCCAGCCAGGCCGCTCCGCC